TTCTAATTTGTATGATATATATTTTCCAAATAGAATGATATACAGTAGAAGCATGTGTGAGAAAAATTGAATGCTTAATACTTACTTTATTTGATATTGTGGAGGGGCTTTAAGAAATCCCTCTGGTTGTTTAATCTGTACATTTCTGTTGCAGTGCAAGACAGTTGTTAAGTTAGTTTTGCCCCATTTTATAACCGTTCTCGTCACAGTTATTAAGGGAATCACTGAAGTTGCCAAGTATCTGAATTTTGATCATGGGGATGCTGCAACGTTTGTAAATGTGAAAAATGGTCATATCACTTTTTTCAGTTCCATTATAACTCCAAACAGTCACTAAGCGAACTGTTGTAAGTCAAGGACTACCTGTATGGTGTAATGCAGTGGTGGTAAACCTTTTCAGCCCCAAGTGCCCAAACCGGAACGCGCGTGCATGTGCGCAGCCAGGTAGTCTTCACAGGCACTTAGAGCGTCGGAAAACAGCCTGAAAAATGGCCAAAACCCAGACCATTTTTGGGCCGTTTTTCAGGCCAAAAACAGCTGAAAATTGAGCTGAAAACAACCCCCAAAACAGCTGAAAATGGCCCAAAATGGCCTGTTAATTTACTTGATTTTTGGCCATTTTCAGGCCATTTTTTGGACTAAAAACGGTCTGAAAACACCACGAAAAATGGTCTGTTTTGGGGGGCTTTTTCCAGCACTATGGCGCCTGCAAACACCAGCAGGCTGGAAACCAGAAGAGAAACTGGCGACAGCGCACATGCCCACAGAGAGGGTTCTGTGTGTCCACCTCTGGCACCTGTGCCATAGGTTAGCCATCACAGGTGTAATGTATTGATGCTTGTTGAAAGAAGCAAACCCAGCAGTGTATAAAAACATGCTACTGCCCACTTTGTTACCTGGTACGCCTCATTTAAGTATCACAAATGGGACTGGCAATTCTGCTGCTAAGTGATACAGTCATTAAACAAGACATTGTATATGTTTGCGACTTGAAATCTCCCTTCCACTTTCTCTATTGACTCTGCTTGACTATGAAGTGGGCAAATGATTGTAGAGATGCTGCAGTGGCTATAAGAGAGACAACAGGTTGTAAAGCTAATTTTTCAGTGCTACAGTTACTTTGAATTAAAAAGGGCAGTATTAAGTGACTACTACCTATAATTATTTTATTCTTCTGAAATAATTTTTAAAAACAACCTATAGAANGAATTTATAAGTGGCTAGAAAAGAGAAGCCAAAACGGGAAATAGAAGTCTTTATGGGGTTTTTTTCTAAACTTGTATTGAATAAAAATTAAGCAAAGTTACTAATTACTATCAAAGTATTTACTATAAAGTAAATATAATGGTGATATGAACAATTAATATCATTACAATTGTTAGTACTACTGTTATTATATTATTAGAGAAGGTAAAATCAATAGGAAGGCAATGTAGAATGGAGAACTATAAAGGATACGCTGTATAATTACTTTATATTGTTATGTATGTTTTATTTTTTTAATTTTGTTGTGTTTTTCTTTCTGTTTTTAAAGGTAAAAAAGTTTAATAAAAACTATTTTTTTAAAAAAAAAACTAGGTTCATCTAACTATTGTTGACATGGCTCTTAAAATATAATATTAGCCTGTATGATGTATTTGTGTACAAATGGCTTATTTATGGAGTGGTGTGATTTTACACTGAGCTTTTTCCAGAAGATTTGGTTTTTTTCCAAATGTGATTTTTTTAAAATTACATAGGACAGATAGGAAAACAAACAGGAGGACAATGAAAAGGAATATTGTGAATGATCAAGATAAAATTTGAAAAGCAATTCCAGCAACTATGTATGTGTTGTGCTCCCTTAGAAGCACCTTTTCCCAAGCATTGCATAATTCTAATATTGCAGGGTCATTGGATTGAAGCCACAACAAACATGATTTCCTTTCCATTCTTCATCATTTATACAGGACAATCTGCGAATACATGCAAAAAAGCATCCTACATCCCACCCTCTAGGATTGGTTTTGTTTGTATGGTACATAAGCAATGTGTTGTTTTGTGTTCTCTGTTTTAGCTTTTGTAGATAGATTTACATCAGGCATGGGTTCCTGCCAGTTCTAGCCTCTTCTATAGAAGAGGTTCCATAAATCTACCGTGCCGTTTAGAACCGGTTCTAACTCCCTCCCCCTGCCTGTCCACACCACGGTTGCCCCGCTCGCAGCTCACTGATTGGCTGGCTCACCAATCACCCCGCCCACCTCTAAGAGTCCTATCTAAACTTTAAAGTCTTAAAGCTGTCAAGTTTGAACATCCCTGGGTTTTTTTTTCCTAAAGGGTTAGTGGTGCAAGGGTCTTGTAACTTGACAGCTTTAAGACTTGCACACTTCAATGCCCAGAGTTTCTGAGCCCACATTTTGGTTGCTAAGCAAGAGCGTTGTTAAGTGAGTTTCACCACATTTTACAAGTTGGCCACGCCTACCCAGTCACATGACTGCCAAGCCACTCCCACTCAGTCACATTACTGGCAAGCCACTCCCACACAGTCACATGGCCGGCAAGTCACTCCCACAAAACAGGCCACAGAAGAGGTTCTAAAAATTTTTGAAACCCACCACTGATTTACATCTACAAATGTAAATGTAGCTCCACCTTGGTGATTTCAAAACATATGGACTTCTATTTCCAGAATTCCCCTGAAACCTAGGCGGAATTTTGGGAGTTGAAGTCCACATGTTTTAAAGTTGCTAAGGTTGAGAAACACTGATCTTCAGTAATTAAACAAGAACTTATATGAAGAAACTCAGGACAAATTTTAAAAATAAGCAGTAGTACGAATACAGGTAGTCCTCGACTTAAAACCATTCATTTAGTGACCAAAATTACAATGGCACTGAAAAAATGGACTTATGACCATTGCCACATCCCCACAGTTAGATGACCAATATTTTGATACCTGACAAGTGGCATAATTTTATGGCCGTTGCAGTGTCCTGGGGATATTTGTGATTTTCCCAGCAGGCTTCTGAAAAGCAAACTCCAGCGGGTGGGGGGAGCCAGATTTGCTTAATGACCCCATGATTCGCTTAACAACTGCAGCGATTCGCTTAAAAACTGCAACAAGAAAGGTCATCTATGGAGCAAAACTCACTTAACTACTCAGCAACGGGAATTTCTGGGCTCAGTTGTGGTCATAAGTTGAGGACTACTTGTAGCCTTTTACCCCCTTGAGCAGCTTCTTTCTATCANATTAATTTAACTGAAAAAAAGTTTTTTTAAACTCTTAGTTCTGTCACTGAATATAGAAATAGAAAAATGATGCATAACAAACTAGTATGCAAATGTAATGTGCATATAATGCCTTTTAAATGCAGATTTTTCTTTTTAAAAAAGGGTTAGAGTGGCTTTTTAAAAATGCATGGCCTTGTAGCTCAAGATGCAGGAACATACTATAATATAACTCTGAGACTTTTCCAGTTACATCTTCTGAATATGTAAAATAGGATGGCCAGAGATTATTTAACACCCCCCTCCTCCCCAAATATTAGATTTATCTACCAGGCGAGCTGATCAGGCATTTTATGAGCAATTCTTCAAAGTACACTTTCCAAAACAATTGAATCATACTTCTGAAACAGCACAAAGACTTCCCAGAACACCTGATTGATATATTCTGAGAAATTAAGGGAACTTTCTGGAAGCAAAATGAAGCATTCCATTGCCAGCCTGTTGCATTTTGTGATTTGCTGTGAAATCCCCACTAATATAATTGTTTTGATGTACATGTGTGAAAAGAAATGTGAACTCACAGTTGAAGAATATCTCATAATTTTCCAACCTCTTAAAGCTAGCCTAAGTAGCTGGTTTAAATTCAATGTATACATCCAATATGTTCTTTGTAGGCCTGAGTATGGTTAAAGACAAGGTAGGCCAGAGCATGCACAGAACAGCAACAACAACTGGGCACCTTGCTCCTCTGACGCTCAAACCTAGCATTGGCAGGTTTCCAAATGTCATGTTCATCAGTAATCTTTATGAGGAAGAAGATGGATACACTGTTTCTTCTTTGTGGCTGAGTTTAGGCATCAGCCTAACAAAAATGGGAGAGGGTACCTCCTAGTGTGTTCTCCAGCAAGGTAGGAAGGCATCAAACTCACAAGAAAAGGGTAAATGTCTGTTTTATAGTTCAGTACCTGGGATGCTCATTCCCTGGTTTTTTTAAAATAAAAAAAAAACAGGAAAGACAACCTAGAATCATAAGACTAGAAGGTACCTTGGAGGTCTTGTAATCCAACCCCCTGCCCAAGGCAAAATATCCTTAAAGCATCCCAGACAAAATCTTTTCCAGAAAACCTGCAAGAGGTAAAAGAGAGAGATCACAGTTAAATGCCTATCCCTTCTTTAAAAGTTTGATACATTCTTCCTGGAAGAGGTTATTCCATCTCTGAATGTTCAGTTTTATAAAGCCCTTCATCAATGTGTGCTATTAATATATGTAGCAAGTCATTATCTCTCAGAAAGATAGCATCTGAGGGATAATGCCATCCTTTGAAGCATTTTTTCTTAACCTTGGCAACTTCAAGATGTGTGGACCTCTTTTTAACATCAAAAGTTGAAATAACTACTAGTACAATCACAATCACAGTCATTTCAGCATCTCTGTAACAAATAGAAAGCAAACAAGCAACAAAGCTGTCTGATGATATCACCCAGTTATGAAATACAGAGTTTTTACCCCTAACATTATCGGGTTCTCTGCCTTTCAGCTTTGCAGTTTGCCATGAGAAGGCATTGTGGTGCCAGCACAGAGCAGATTAATTTCAGAATTCCAGGGTATCCCTTGATGTTTAGGTCTTATGCTTCAGATAGAGCCCCTAAATTTTTGGATTCTGTTCACAGGGCAAAACAAGCATCAGGGTCCTGGGAAAAAGACATTTTGAATTTCATTTGCCTTTTCTGATGGAAAAGTGAAAGAAACCTCTTGCTTATTGATATTGACACTGTATTTTTATTCCTTCCAGCTGGTGGCCCGATGGTATCTGATGACAAGCTGGATGAGATGCTGGAGAGCGGTCAGACAGAAATGTTTATTTCAAATGTGAGTATTGGAATATTGGGGCCTTTGAAAGAGGAAAAGGCTCTAAACAAGGAGATTCATCTACCTCATCTTTTTTGTGCAGCTCACGAAGGACACACAAGTGACAAAGCAGGCTCTCAATGAGATCGAAACCAGGCACAGTGAAATCCTGAAATTGGAACGCAGTATCCAGGAGCTACATGATCTGTTTATATTCCTGGCTACAGAAGTGGAGCTGCAAGTATGAAGTGGAGAGAGAGAAACACAAGGGGGATTGTGCTTTGGTCCAACTTTGTTGAAGTAGACCATCAGCCTAATTACCTTAATAGGGTTTACACTGACCAGTAGGTTTTTGTGGTGTCAAATATTTTCCCCACCTTCTTTGGAGATGTTAACCACTGACCTTTGGATTTCTTGTATGAAAAGGATAGGCAATACTTCCCCAAGAGAGAAAATAATCTTTGTAGAGTCCTCTTATTCCCTTTTTTAAAACTGTTCTAACTCTCTACAAGCATCCAATCTCCTTCCTATCAGTACTGTTGTCAAGTAGGTTTCCTATATGGCTTTTCTAGGAGGTCACCAAGAACTGGGGTGGTGCAGTGGTCAGAATGCAGTACTGCAGGCTACTTCTGCTGATTGTTTGTCAGCTCCCTGCAGTTCAACAGTTTGAACCTCACCAGGCTCAAGGTTGACTCAGCCTTCCATCCTTTAGAGGTCGGTAAAATGAGGATCCAGATTGTTGGGGGCAATAAGCTGACTCTATAAACTGCTTAGAGAGGGCTATAAAGCCCTCTCTAGCAATATAGAAGTCTAAACGCTATTGCTATAGCTAACTCTGCCCACTGCAAGGAGTTTGATTCTCATCCTTCTGAGGTGGGTAAAATGAGGACCCAGATTTTGGGGGGCAGTATATAAGTCTAAGCACTGCCACTATTATTAATGATGCAAAAGTTGAGCTGCTACATTTGAACAGTTTTGAACTGCCATTTGTTTGCTTTGTTTTCACTTTACTACTTGTCCCATAATCCTGCAGGGGACCGTTTTAGTCTCACTGCTTTTTCTGTTCTGTCCCCCCCAAGAACTGATTATCTTCATCCGAAAGCTCCTTATCCAAACATTCCCTTTCGATTCCATTCAGGGAGACGCGATTGACCGGATAGAGAAGAACATTCTAGACTCCGGGGATTACGTCAAGAAAGGGCAACTGCACCTTCACCAAGCCCAGGAGAATCAGAAAAAAGCTCTCAAGGTAAACCGCCCCCATCTGCAGCCCTCAACGTACCGCCACAGTGAAGCCCAAAATTTCGGCTGCTAAGTGAGACAGTTGTTAAGTGAACCACTGCAGTTGGTTAAATTAGTAACATGTTTTAAGTGAATCTGGTTTTCCCCATCGACTTTACTTGTCAGAAGCTGGCAAAAGAGGATCACGTGACACCTTGCAACATGGTTACCATCATTAATAGGAGTCATTTGAATTTTTATCACGTGACCCTGGGGAGGCTGCAGCGATTGTAAATGGGAAAAGAAGTCATAAGTCACTTTTCTCAGTAGAGTTGTAACTTCAAATGGTCACTAAAGCAACTGTTCTAAATTGAGGATTACCTGGTGGGCTATAGCTGCTGCCAGATATCATCAGTGCCCACATGCTTGCTGCCTCTTGTGCGCACACTTGGGGGTGGGGGTTCACCGACAAAATGGCGAACAACAAAACCGCGCCCAACTAAACCGCGTCGCTGATNCCCAGCAGATCATCATCGTACTTGTTGTCTTCATCCCAGACTTGTATTCGGAGCCGGCTGGCTTCTCCCAAGCCCTGGACCTTCCCCAGATCCAAATGGGCCATCCATACTGGGTTGTTATTATTCCACACAGTTGATGTCCGGCTCTCAACCCCATTGAAGAATACCTTGACGAAAGCATCCGTGCTTGTGAAGTAGTCTCCCCAGAGATCATAGGCACGTCGAATCGTCACGGTTAGCTTGCTCTGGCCTCGCTCCCGGGCACAGCACATGGAGTTAGTGGTGCCATCACTGGGACATATGCAGGAGCAGGGATCTCGGACGCTGCGTTGGGAGCCGGGAGGACAAGGCTGGGTGCAGTTCCTCCAAACGGCCCTTTGTCTGATGTACTCGCTCACCGCCTGCTGCAAACTGTTTCGCTTTGGGTGATCCTTAGGCAGCAAGCTATGGATAGGCTTCAGGGAGTAAGAGAGAAGCGCAGGCATAGATTTGAGGCTTTCCATCCACTGCTTAAACATTTCAGAGTTCTGTTCGTTTGAAAAGAGCAAGTCAGTGTGTTGGTCCCCTCCGATTACCTCAGTATGTCTCTCATCGTAGGTCTGGTGGAAGCTTCCTTTAAAACTCTTCTTCTTCTTCAGCTCTTCACATGCCTTGTAGGCCGCACTGAGGCTCCCTTGGTCACCTCCGATGTTGGCCGAGGCCTCCAGGCTTAGGCAGTCCTTGACTTCATCAGCAGAAGCGCCGTCCAAAGCTGTCTCACAGACCCGCAAGGCTGTCACATCCCTCAAGCGGCCCCCCAAGTGCAGATGATCGATGAAATGGGTCCCGTAGATGCTGATGAACTGCTGATATTCTGGAACGGAGTTGGGACGGTACTTGTCAGGGAGATTGTGAACGTAGCGCTTGAAATATCTGGAGGGAATGTATTGGTTGATACGGAAGCTGCAAAGGAAACAGAAGACCACACAGGTAGGGTAACAGAGCTGGCGGGCCTTCGGATCAAATCATAAAGGAGTGGTTTGGTATAAAAGGGTAGGAATCTTGCAAAATTGGTGAGTAACTAAATCAGGGCTTCTCAACGGGATAACTTTTAAGATGTCTGGACTTCAACTCCCGGAAATCCCCAGCCAGCAAACTGCCTAGGAAATTCTGGGAGTTGTAGTCCAGAGATCTTAAAGTTGCTTAGATTGACATTAATTTAGGTAACGAGATGTTTCCCATAGCTATTATCAACAGCTGAATTGCCTAGAAAGGTGATTCAGTTTCTAGAGGATTTTTCTAACAACCAGAGAAGGACATGTCCTCCATGAATTTGTTAAGTCCTTAAAATGGGGGAACTCTCACATCTTGTCCTTCTCAACTTTTCATATGAGCCGGCAGTGTGCAGCAGCTGCCAAAAAAGCCAACACAGTTCTAGGATGCATAAACAGAGGGATAGAATCAAGATCATGTGACGTGTTAATACCACTTTATAATGCTTTGCTAAGGCCACACTTGGAATACTAAGTCCAGTTTTGGTCGCCGCGATGTAGAAAAGATGTGGATACTCTAAAAAGAGTACAGAGAAGAGCAACAAAGATGATTAGGGGACTGGAGACTAAAACATATAAAGAATGGTTGCTGGATTTGGGTATGTCTAGTTTATTGAAAAGAAGGACTAGGGGAGACATGATAGCAGTGTTCCAATATCTCAGGGGCTGCCACAAAGAAGAGGGAGTCAGGCTATTCTCCAAAGCACCTGAAAGCAGGAAAAGAAGCAATGGATGGAAACTAATTAAGAAGAGAAGTAACTTAGAACTCTGACAGTTTGAACAATTAATCAGTGGAACAACTTGCCTCCAGAAGTTGTGAATGCTCCAACACAAGACGTTTTTAAGAAGATGTTGGATAACCATTTGTCTGAAGTGTTGCGTAGGGCACAGGTGGATTCTGGCAGTCATTACTGCCGGTTTGTTTATGGGTGCTTTGTGCGCGCTGTGCGTGCATGCGCAAAGCAATAAAATTTACTCTGTGCATGCATAGAAGCAAAAAACAAGATGATGGTGCCTACTGCGACACCGGCAAAATTGGTTTTGTAGCGTAGCAGGCCTGGGCCCCTCCTGGTTCTACAGGTACTGTAGGTTCAGCCAAACCGATTCGAACCTGTGTGTAGGGTTTCCTGCCTAAGCAAGAACTTGGACTAGAAGGCCTCCAAGGTCCCTTCCAACTCTGTTATTCTATTCTATTCAACTCCTTATATTGGTTTTGTTCAGTTTGTATAGATCAGTGGTTCCCAAACTTGGCAACTTTAAGACTTGTGGACTTCAACTCCCAGAATTCTCCAGCCAGCAGAGCTTTCTGTGAATCGGCTTTCTGTAATTTAATTTTTATTTCAATTTTTCGATCTTTTTCGTCGCGTTGTGATGACGTCACATACGTGCTTTCGTCGACCGCGATTTTGTGGAATGCGGTTTTGACGGGTCACGGAATAATATATGATGACACACAGAAAGAAGATATTTATCTATACCAGTGGTTCCCAAACTTGGCAACTTTAAGACTTGTGGACTTCAACTCCCAGAATTCTCCAGCCAGCAGAGCTTTCTGTGAATCGGCTTTCTGTAATTTAATTTTTATTTCAATTTTTCGATCTTTTTCGTCGCGTTGTGATGACGTCACATACGTGCTTTCGTCGACCGCGATTTTGTGGAATGCGGTTTTGACGGGTCACGGAATAATATATGATGACACACAGAAAGAAGATATTTATCTATACCAGTGGTTCCCAAACTTGGCAACTTTAAGACTTGTGGACTTCAACTCCCAGAATTCTCCAGCCAGCTGAGTTAGAGAGAGCTAGTTAGGGAGACTAACAAGAGAATGCCATGACTTCAGAAAACTTAACCTGGGAGTTGACAGGAAGTTCTTCAGCTGAACAGATGTGGGGGGGGGCTCTCAAGAGCCTCACATGAACCATGTCTGACAAACCAATTCCAAGGTCCGTTTGAACCAGAAACACCCCCCGGTAAGGGGGGGGCGAAGAGGACAGCATCTCATCAGACCCAGGGAGAGGCAACAGATCCCTCGCAGGTCGGAGATTTGTCTTTTGAATTGGAGTCGGGGTGACAGCCTATAAATATGGCTGACAAAATGCTGAACTTCTTTTCAAAGCAAACGGAACAGGAGGGTTGGAAGAGATGAAAGGCTGGTAAGATAATTTACCTAACCCACAGCCATAAATCAAACCTGGAAAAGTCAAAGAAATCTTGAGAACATAAATAATATTGATGGTCAGATTGGGGACTTTGAAAGAAAGAAAGAAAGAAAGAAAGAAAGAAAGAAAGAAAGAAAGAAAGAAAGAAAGAAAGAAAGAAAGAAAGAAAGAAAGAAAGAAAGAAAG